AAAGCTAAAAAAAAATTAAATTTTCCGTCAAAATTATATGTTTATCTATGTGTCAACATTGGCATATTTTGTCCTTACCAAAAAAAAAACATTGGCATATTTTGCTCATTTTTTTTAATTTTTCGAATTTTAAAAATTTCAAAGTGCCTGAAAACTTTGATTTTAATAAAAATAAAAAGTAAAGGTTCAGACACATCTTCTACCGATTGGTTTCTAGTCTAAAAGTATTCTTTTGGACCGGTGGAATATATTCATATTAACTCTTTCCTGCCTTTCCTTGCAAGTTACAAGATAACTTTGCCAAGAGAATCATTTGACTTGACTCGCTCATAATTCGTTAAGAATCCAAAATATCAGTCGAGATATTTACCAAAAGAAACGAGAGGTACTAGAAAAGATAATTTTCATTTTTCATACTATGAAAAGTCGCACTCCGATCCATTGATAAGCCTTTCTAGGTGGATTTAGAAAAAAATTACCATAACAGTCCTAAACCTATTGCAATTATGCCAATTCAGTCCATCCGGCCAATTTTGACCAACCGGAGCTGATGTGGCATTTTTTAATATTTTTTTCAAAATTGCTATTAATTTTTTTATCCTTTTCTTTTCTTTTTCCTCTTTTTTTCTTTTCCTTCATCTTAAACCTCTAGCCGGTCAACAGAACCGGCAACCGACCAAAGGTGGGAGCCAGCGAGTTGCACTGGCGAGAACAACATCACCCAGCCACTAGCCTCGCTAACGAAAGTCTGGCAAGGCTGGCCTCGCCATCGCTGTCACGCGCAAGGACGACCCTCGCTATGGCTGGGCGAGGCTCGAACTTGCCAAATCTAGCGGCCACAACCAGCCACTAGCATCGACCACCAGATATGGCGAGCTTGAGCTTTGCCATGGCTCCACCTCGCGAGCAACGACGAGGGTTGAACTTGTTAGCAGCAGTGGCCAAGCTTGGGCATCATTGTTGCTTGCGAGGACGAGCCTTGCCATGACTGGGCGAGGCTCGAGCTCGCCAGATCTGGCAGCCGACGCTAGTGATTGGGCACGGCCACCAAATCTGGCAAGTTCGAGCATTACCTAGCCATGGCGAGGCTCAAACTAGCGTGCGACGACGATGGCCAGGTTGGCCTCGCCAGTGTCTGGGTGAGGTCATTCTTGCCAGGGGTGGCCGAGGCTAACCTCGTCGGCCCCTGCCTCTGGTCGGTCGCCAGAACCAGCGACTGGCTAGAGGTTGAAGATGAAGGAAAGACCAAAAAAAAAAGGGAAAGAAAAGAATTAAAAAAGGGGAAAAAGACAAGAAAAGAATTAAAAAAATTAATAAAAAAATTAGGAAATTTTTGTTAAAATATATATATATTTAAAAACGCCATGTTAGCGTTGACTGGACGACCAGCGCCAATCGGCCAAAATTGTCCGGATGTACTAAATTGATACAAATGCAAAAGGTTTAAAACTGAATTGGCATAATTCCAATAGGTTTATGACTGTTTTGATAATTTTCCCAGTGGATTTAATTTGACGGGAGCACTATAATTGTCACTAAAATATTAAACTAAAGTATCTAAGGCTGCGTGCCTACTATCTATTAACATGCAACAGATAGTATGCTAAATCTACAGTCCAATCTAAAATCTATCTACACGTGAGTGTACGAGAGAATAGCGTGATCGGGTTCCCATGAGAATCACTCCTCTCCCCTTCGCGCCTATAAATATGGATGGTGTCCTAACATTCTTTGCCAAGCCCAAACCTTAAAATCTTATAAGAACTTCATCTCTATAGAGAGCTTTTTCACAAGCTCATCTTGAATGCCAATGGCCCCTCCAGCAAATCTCGCTGACATAGGACGGGAAGGCTTTGATCTCCTCGAGAAGACCTATGGCCACAAAAGAAGGCCCGCCGTTGCTCCTCCACCCCCGCTGCCGCAGCAGAAGGCCCAACCCTGCATTTACCGTCGGACCGAAGTGCCTCTGATCACCGAGAGGCTTCCTGAATATGTTGTTTCCCATCAGTCGCAGCAGCATCAACAGCCAGGCTATCCGTCTTTCAACAGGAGTGAAGTCCCCCTTCATCACCATTATTACAGTAATCATCACCGCAATCCTTACCCGCCTGCGGAGGATGATGCCTATGGCGATGCCATGGACAGCAACAAAGCAGCCGTCTTGTATAGGGGGATGAAGATCATTGAGTATCGTCGGGTTTGATTAGATTTTTCTTGCCTTTTTAGCTATTATGTTGTAGTAATATGTTGCTCGGTGTGAAGAACAACACATGAAGCTGTCTCAAGTATGTAGTTTGGTTATGAATAGAGTCTGTGAAGTCATGCGGTTGAGTAGAGTCTGTCAAGTCATGAGGTTGTAATTAGCTTTGTGTTATGCTTTTATCGTGACTCTTTCGTGGGTTTCTTGCGTGATTGTGGAAGAGTTGCTCGATCAACGCATGCTATGGGTTATGTGCTCATAACCATCTTTAAAGAAGATAGGGTTAATTGCTTTGGCAATGCACACTGGCCCCCAAACTTTAAAAAGTCACAAATTACCTTCCTGAACTTTGGCACCACTGTTACAAAAACCCCTAAATTTGAAAAGTCAAAGATTACTCCCTCAAATTTTGTATTTTGTTGCAGCCGATAGCTTATGTCTGCATAACTGAAGTGTGCTGGAAAATGGAGTTAATGAAGTTATCAAAAAAGAAAAAGAAGAAGAAGAAGAAGAAGAAGAAAAGGATGCATGGCTAATGAAGTTCATTGTTCATTCTCTGGTAAAACATGGCGGTTTTGCAGACGGAAAAACTAATGACTGCATAAAAAGTCAAAGTTGAGGAGGTTAATCCATAACTTTTCAAAACTTATGCGTTATTATGCAATGGTGCCGAAGTTGAGAGCAATAATCTGAAATTTCTAATATTTGTATGCTATTGTGCATCAATACAAAAGTTGGGAAATTTTGAGCAATGAAGCCAACAAAGCACGTGAGGATGTATGTCAGTCGAGAGCCTTAAACAACAGTTGTCGATGCATAATGATGAGCTATCAGCAACGATTGACATAGCAATGAGCAAACAATAGAAAGCCATCTCAGCTCTTTGGAAGCACAAGAAGCATGGGGATATAGTGACCAATTCGAGATGAAGCAGTTGGGAAACATTAGAATAATCGGAAGGGATTTGCTTAAAAAGCATAGAAGCACTACTACAAAATAGAGCAGTCAGATTCGAAGAGGAACGAACGTGCATGTTGGAGGGAACAGTTACCATTTGATCATGGGACATGTCATGACTTGGAAGACAAGATCATGGAACGGCAAGATCGTGAGACAGTTACCAATGAGCAATTACTAACATTCATTCAAGAACCATGGAATAGCTAGTGCAAAAAAATAGTTGCTCAGAAATGGTATTAGAAGCTAGATTTTCCGAGCTAAGAGACGCAGAAGAAACCCCCGAAAACCACCTAAAAGAAGTTACCATTAGATCATTATAAATACCACCAGTTGTCTACTAGAAGCCACCCCGCATAAATCAAATAAATTTACTCTCTTTATCTTTACTTTCCTACATTGCATTTTACTTTTCCTAGCAGTAGCTTTCTTATTCACGTTGTTGATTAAACTCCAGCGTAGTGTCATTACGTTACCAAGCTTTGTTATTGATTAAATTCCAGTATAGTTTGTTAATATTTGTTTTGTTCGGAACAATTGTACTTTCCAAACCTTGTTGTCAATTAAAATTCCAGCACGGTTCGTGTTTTGTATAGTCCTGTTTGGAGTAAAACCATTGATTTCTATACTCGCCTAGATATTTCATGTACGGAGTTAGTGCAAAACCCTAGTTTCCTTTAATTAAAAGCCGATAAACAATTTTTTATGAAAGCTGAAACACCTTTCGGTGAAACAGACACATCATCTTCTTATTTGGGCGGCAAAAATGAGTTCATCTTTTTGGGCACTCTTGTCATGCGGCCCTCTATGGTCCATTGAGAAATCGATCACCTATTGCAACTCAATCTTATCATGTCCATTTTATCGTAACTCCTATACAAAATATCTTGACACATAAAAGAAATGATTAATACCATGAAAAACTCAAAAATTGATATATTTATGACAAATTTACCCTAAACTAATTTTTTAACCACCGAAAACCCCAAACCAGTACATCTGTGACAAAATTACTCTACACTAATTTTTTAACCACTAAAAACCCCAAACTGGTACATTTGTGATAAATTTACCCTCTATTAAATTGGATTAATATCACAAAAAATCGTAAACTAGTTTACCTATGACAAACGGATGGTAAAACCCTAAACAAGTACACCCGTCAACTTTCACGTGTCATGAAACTCAGAAATTTGACAGTAAAATTTAACGGAAACTAACAGATGGTAAAATTGTCACAGGTGTACCAATTTGGGGTTTTTAGTGGTCAACAAATTAGTTTGGGGTAAATTTGTCACAAATATACCAATTTGAGATTTTTCATTGTGTTAAGCCTAAAAAAAATTAATTGATGTCGGATTGACCGGTGTGAATAACAACTCTCATCTTGATCCAACGATGATCACAACTCTTGAGGATCTAATTCTGCGGAATCTATAGAACTCCCCACTCTTGTCATTGCCAAAAGGTGCTCATCATCCCCACGTAAAATTCTTTGGCCACTCTCGTCACTGCCAAGAAAGATATATAGGTAAAAAAAAAACAAGAATTTATTTAATTCTTTAATCCATTCTCCTTTTTACTTGCTTTAGCTGTCGGCAAATAATTAGGGTTGTCCATGCAACATAGTTTGTGCTAATTCTGGTCAAAAAAACTTCCTGTCGGACAGGGAGTTTCAAGGATCAGCAGCAGCCAATTTTAGAGGCGCCAAATCATCACCACTCCAAACATAAATAAAGAAAACACCAAACACAACGAATCCATTGCCTAAATTAGCTCAAAACTGCGAGGATTTACAGACAGATTTAACAGCTATTGAATCAGTTGGCAACAAAATTTCAACTATATCCTAATCAGAAGACAAAGATTGCTTCTTCCCTCTATCTATTGCTCCCAGGTACAAAGGGGGCGTTCTTCCTCAAATTTAAACACAACTCCGACAAAGGAAAAACGAAGAACCCCCCAAACCACAAGATCTTTCGTTTCTTGTTTAATTTCTTGAGAGAGCGGCAATGATGGCCATTTCAGGAAGAGCGGCTTTAATCCTTTGTCTAGCTGTGGTAATTAGGTCTTGCGAAGCCCGTGGCGGGGTCAACCCATTGGTGCATCGAGCTCATGGAGCTAGCCATGGCATTGTCGACCCGAGTGAGAAGATCTTTGATGTTGTGCAATTTGGAGCCAAGCCAGATGGACGACATGAAAATTCATTGGTGAAGCTCTTCCTCTTACCCAAATGACAGATAGATAATTTAATTTCCTTCTTGCTCCTTTTATTATCAACCGTTCTAGATCTTTTGTTTATTTCCTATAAAGTTGAACTATTCACTGATAGGATAAGGATCCTGAGAAAAAGAAAGATTTAATGTTGGTGAAGCATCTAGGAAAGGTGAATTAGCGTTTGCATGTTTGAGAGATTCTTCAATTCCATTTTGATGTGTTGGATAATGACGAATAATAATTTACTTTATTCAGTTATAAATGCCATAAAAAAGCATCTGAACCTAATCAAAGCTGTACCACATCGTTCCTCATTATTCCAAATCTGTGCAGCAATGATTTGATATTCCTGCTTGCATTATTGGATGCAGGAATCACTTCAACCCTCTCCAACTTTTGTTTTTTGACACGGAATTCGGTTGTGAAAGCCGTTCGTCTTTAGCTCCAAAAGGCTAGAGGCAACGTGGCATATGCTATGTTTGGATAGACTGCATTTACAAGCACTTTAAAAAACAGTGAACAGATGTTCGGAACAAGATTTGTGTTTGCTGTTGTGATTACGATTCATCAATTGACCTCGTTGTTTTGGGGGGTGGGCAGCAATTCCAGAGGACGTGGACAGCGGTATGCCAGTGGCCAGGGAAGGCGAGGATGGTGATCCCACTGGGAAGATTCTTAGTGGGCCCGCTCGTTTTCACAGGCCCATGCAGAAACCGAGAGCCCATAGTTGTGCAGATCAAGGGGACGTTGCTGTCCGCATCACCAGACCAATTGGACGACTTTCCCATGGATGTCGACAATTGGGTTCAATTCTATGACATCAATGGGCTTATTGTGATTGGAGGAGGCACTCTTGATGGCCAGGGTGCTGCTTTCTGGTCGCACAGTCTTGGTGGCCAAGGTCCAGGCCTCCCAGTTGTAAGTGTTCCCAAATTCTAGCAAAGAAAAGAGAATGAAGAACAAAGCAGGAAGGATAGATAATGCCCAATTTCTTAATGGCCTTGCCGTTTTTCCTCTCTTCTTGTAGAATTTGATGTTCCAGAAAGTCACGAACGCGATCGTTCGCAAGCTCTCCTCGGTCAACCCCAAAGGGTTTCATATCGGAGTCGTCCAGTGCAACAACATTAGATTATACAACCTTCGCATTGTCGCGCCCGGAAACAGCCCGAACACCGACGGGATCCATATTAGCAGATCCAACCTGGTGAAGATAGCAAGAACCCAGATCGCCACCGGCGACGATTGCATCGGCATGATTCAAGGTTCTACCAACATTAGCATAAAAAAAGTAACATGTGGCCCGGGCCATGGTATAAGGTACCCAACCTGACTATCCCTCGAGTACGTAAGTTCGGTTCAAGTTCTTGAATTGACAGGAAAAAACTGTTGCGCGTCAAACAAAAGTAAGAATCTCTTGATTAAGAGAAATCTGTTGACCGCAAAGCGGTTCCTGAGTTAGATGATTGCTTGAATTAGATGATTTTTGTGTCTTTCTTAAGGGCTGATGAAAAAGTTTATGTATGCGTTTTTTGAACAGCATTGGCAGCCTTGGCAAGTACGAGAATGAGGCAGATGTTAGAGGGGTCATTGTGAAGAATGTCACGATTTCAAACACAGAAAATGGAGTCAGAATCAAGACAATGCGAGGTCCAAAGGCAATAGCAACCCAAGCTTCAAGCATAATTTTTCAGGACATTATTATGCACAATGTGAAGAATCCTATCATTATAGACCAAGAGTACAATGCTCATGGCAAGAAACAGGTACTAATGATTCGGAGTTCTCGAAGTCGAGCTGGTAATAATAACCTACAATATCAATACCTGAGTTTTTGCAATCACATGGCTAGTGCCTAAATCAACAAGTCGGTCGAAATTCTATTCCTTTAAACTTTCCTACCCTGCTTGTTTACTCAGATATCAGAAAATTTGACATTATCGATAATATCGCTGTTTTCTTCTTCTTTTGAATTGTGTAGGTCAATCCATCGATAGTTAAGATCAGTGATGTTCACTTCATCAACATCAGGGGGACAGCAACATCACCAGTTGCGGTTCAGGTGGTATGCAGCAAAAAAGTGCCCTGTCAAAACATCCAATTCTACAACATTAACTTGGACTACGTGGGAAGACCGGTGAAAGCTTTGCCTCCTATTTGCACTTCCACATGTAGTAATGCATATGGACTGTCCTATGGAGGCATCCAAAAGCCCCCAGCTTGCCATTAGGGTTATATTTGGATTATCTCGATTTGAACCCCCATTCGTTTAATCTGTATAGATGGAGAAGGAGGAAGGTGGCATTTTCTTGTGGGGTAAAGGGAAACTTTGGATCTTTGGGAGGATTGGTTGTGTAGAGATTCGAACTGCTATGATTCATGCAATGCCTTGAGAGAGATGTGACGAAAAAGAATGATTGCTGTGCTTCTCAGCAATTTAGTTCTCTACTGTGCATAAACCAACATGTCTTCTATTCAGATGAACATTGAACTATAATCAAAACATGTGGTTAAGATAATATTTGTTAAAACTCATGTTTAACATGAAGACCAATTGACCTCCCAAGGGCTGGCTCAATGTTATGTTCCAGCCCTTGGTGGGTACGCAGTAGACTTACAACAAGCTTTGACAATTTGGAGGAACAAGAATTGCCGCTAATGGAAGATTCGCAGTTCTATCAGAGGGCCGTATGATATTTTTGTCGGCGATGATAATGTCGTTGCTGGGAATGGCTTCTTGTAAATTGTTGTTGATGGATCTTAGCAGCAAGTTCTTAAATAATATTTGTTGCAAACACTGTTGGCAGCAAAGAAAAGTATGTTGCTGCGTAAAAGACTAATATTGGCAGACCAAAGATGCTGCCGAAAAAAAATTACTCGATAGCCAAAAAAAAAAAATTGTTGCCACAAACATAAATAGTATATTAATGGATGTTTTTTGCAATTTTTTAATAATGTCGGTAAGATATTATTTTGCTTGGAGAATGTTTTTTGATTTTTTTTGTGGAGCAAATATTCTTGTCCAGCAATTTACAATTGAATGATAAATGTGTGAAATTTGTTGCCCCGTCCTCATTTAACTAGCATTGTTATTTCTACATTTATATTTAGTTGTAGATAAAACCAGAAAGCGTAAAGTAGAGAAGAGAAAAATAATAAATTGCCAAAAAATGTGTGACATTTACAAATAAAATAGAAAATGCTCCTTGGCTCCAAAAAAAAAACTTAAATGGCTAGAAACTATGTCAAATAGGAAAAAGCTACGATATATTATGGGATGATTTTTCAAGACCACTCTGGATTTGTCACCGATGTATAATAGTCCCCGAATTTTGAGGGTTTAGAGATTATCCCCTTGAAATTTAGTTTTTATTATAGCAGCTAGCTTTTCCCTTCTGCATAATTGTTGAATGTTATCTGACTCATTTTTCGTGACCAAAATAACATTAAAGTATCAACGGTTAATACCACGAAATACCTTAAACTGGTACACCTGTGATAAATTTTTCCCAAACTATTTTTTTGATAACAAAAAACCCCAAACTAGTATACCCATGACAAATTTACTCCAAACTAATTTTTTGACCATAAAAAACCTTAAACTGGTACATTTGTGATAAATTTACCTTCATTAGTTTCCGTTAAATTGGATTACTACTACTAAAAACCATAAACCAATACACATGTGACAAACGGAGGGTAAAATCCCAAACTGGTACACACATCAACTATCACGCGTTATCCAAATCAGCAATTTGACGGTAAAATTTAACGGAAACTAACAAAGGATAAATTTATCATAGGTGTACCAACTTAGGATTTTTCGTGGTCAAAAAATTAAGGGGAAAATTTCAAATAAGGGCATGAAGTGGACTTTGTGTCTAATAAGGGCTTGAAGTGCCCTCATATTCTCAAATAAGGGTCTAAAGTAGATTTTATTTCGAATAAGGGCCTGAAATAGCTATGTCTATTTCAAAGAAGGGCTCGACTTTCAAGATGGTAAGTGCATTTTTGTCTTTTTACTTTTTTTGAATTTTTTTTCCTTTATTTTCTTTTTTCTTTATTTTTTTTTTCTTTTTCTGGTTTCTCTTTATTCTTCGCCGGTGGCCGACTAGCCACGGGCGAAGCCCCAGAAGGGATGGGCAAGGGTCACCCTCGCCCGATCTGGCGAGGGCCACCCTTGCTGACAATAGGCGAGGTCAACACTTAGTAGATCTGGGCGAGGGTTGCCTCGCTAGCTGCCGGCGAGGCGACCCTCATCCTGGGCGAGGATCGCCTCACTGAGGCGTGACTGGCCTCGCCCAAGGGAGGCCATCCCTCGCCAGCAACTGGCGAGGCGACCCTCACCCAGATCTGACGAGGGCGGCCTCGCCCAAGGCGAGGGCAACCCTTGCCCAGCCTTTCTCGGGCTTCATCGGTAGCCAGTGGTCGGCCACCGGCAAAGAACAAATAAAAAATCAGAAAAAGGAAAAAGGAAAAAAGAAAAGAAAGAATAAAGAAAGAAAAAGGAAAGAAAGGAAAAAAGAAAATATAATTATAATTTTCTTTGGACGAAAATGCCCTTGATCGGCCAGAATATTTCATTGATCGGCAACCAGCGAGGTCAGGCTCTTATTTGAAACTCTCATGGCCACTTCAAGCTCTTATTTGACACAATGTCCACTTCGGGCCCTTATTAAAGAAAATAATGGCATTTCAGGCCCTTATTTGGAATTTTCCCAAAATTAAATTTGGGTAAATTTATCACAAATACACCAATTGAGGGTTTTTCGTAGTATAACCCAAGTATCAATCATTCTCTATTTTCTTAACTTCATTAACGATATATAATAGAATATTTGATCAAGAAAACTGAGTCCGTCTATTTTCAAGTAACATTTTTTTTTTGGTAAAGGTAAGAATATGTATTACTTTTCAAAAACACCATATACAATATAGCGCCAAAGCCAACCCTTGACCCGATTAGGACACAGAAATGTCCGAACAAGGTCCACGTTGGTTCAGCAAGAACTATACAACAAGCCAAAGAGAGACCAACTAAATACAAGGTGACTTAATACACCGAATTAAGAGGCCATCTGGTTCGGTTCAAAGATTGAAGGTGGAAGACCCCACTTCCTTTGTAATTGCCGGTTCCTAGGAGTATCCTCAACTCCCCCAATGGATATGGCTTTATCCTTCACGACTTTGACTAAGTGCAAGCACATACCCAGGATATATATACACTCTTGTTTCTGAAGATGGCGTTGTTCCTTTCAGTCCAAATGACATGACATAGTGCACCAAAGGAAAATCTAGAGAGGCGGTGAGCAAAGGAAGATCCACCGCAAACTTTCATTGCCCACCTAATATGCTCTTGCCAAGGACGGTTGAGCCATGGAAGGTTGCATTTAGTTGCCCAGAAAGAAGCCAGCCTAGAAGTAGAAGTGCACTCAAAGAAGAGGTGGTTGATCGAATCTGGTCTATCACCACAGAAAACGCACAAGGCGGTGTCAATCCTGCGGATTTATAGGAGTACCTGGGAAGGTAGCCGGTTGAGAGAGATAAGCCACAAGAGAAAGGCATGTCGGGGGGCAATATGATGATCCCAAATGAATGAGTGACATGGGGCTGGATGCCCTTTCCTTCTGATATGATTCCAAGCTAGCGCTACCGAGAAAGAGTCAGAAGGATGTGAAGAACATATCAGTTTGTCCGGAGTATTCTCCACAAAAATTGGTGGTGAATCCGTCCAGCTCAGGATAGTGTCAAGTGTATATGAAGGTTGCCATAAACAATCATAGAATTTCCTAACCGAAGTATCCTGGGGGATCCGCGATTGGTATATGTCCACATTGCTGAATATGAGGTAGAGTGGGCCTTTGTTATGCCACCAATCAAACCAAAAGGACACCGAGCGTCCATTACCAATCTTCCACCGAAATAGTGCTTGGGCGGAAGCTCGCAAATCCAGAATTTTCTTCCATGTCCAAGAGCAAAATGTAGGTTTGGATACAATCCAAAAGTTTGATATTTTTAAGAAGGTTGAATGTATCCATTTTGCACCACATGGATTCCTTATCAGTAAAGAGAAGCCATATGTGTTTAAGAGTCATTGCTCTATTGTATTCCACAAGTCGCCGTATCCCAAGGCCACCTTCTTCTTTGGGTAAACATACAGCATTCCACGCTACCTTAGCTCCACCCATGCCAAGGTCAGGACCTTTCCATAGAAATTGTCGCAAAATAGCCTCAATTCTATATAATACTGATTTCGAAATAGAGAAGATAGTAGTCCAATACACTTGCATAGAATGCAGGACTGATTTGATGAGTTGTAACCGACCAGCGAAGGACAGGAAACGTTGAGTCCATGAGCGGGCTCGAGCCGTTATAGAATCAATCAAGATTTTACAGTCCTCTTTACGCAGTCTAGTCGATATAATAGGCACGCCTAAATAGCGAAAAGGGAATGTACCTTGTTGAAAGCCGAGGCATTGAAGTAATTGGCCATGCAGAACCGGATTCCCTCCCGAGAGGAAGATATTGCTTTTCCTATTATTCGGTTTAAGGCAAGACCAGTCGGAGAACAGGTCAAGAGATTCCTTAATTAGTTCAATCGACCTCAAGTGAGCTTCGAAGAAGAGGAGCACATCATCCGCAAAAAATAGATGAGAAATACGGGTTTTTGTGCATCGCCAAAACCAATGGAAATCCGGAGTGTCTGTTTTTGCCTTTAGAATTCCGGACAGGACTTCCATAACCAGTATGAAAAGATACGGCGATAGCGGATCGCCTTGTCATATACCTCGGCAACTAGCAAAAAACCCATGTAATTCCCCATTGATTGAAAACGAGAATTTGGTTGTTGACACACAAGCCATAACCAGCTTGACGAAGAAATCCGGAAATTTGAAGGCCTTTAGTGTCTTTTCAATGAACTCCCAGTCGACTGTGTCAAAAGCTTTCTGAAAATCCACTTTGATGGCACACTTAGGAAGGTAAGCCTCATGATGAAAGTCCGCGAACAACTCTTGAGCAATCATGATGTTGTCACTAATTCTACGTCCTTTAACGAAAGCCGTTTGGGAAGGGCTAATCAAAGTTGGTAAGACATGAGCAATACGCCTAGCCAGGATTTTAGAAATGCATTTGTAAAGGGTATTGCAACATGCAATCGGACGGAAATCAGTCATGGCCGAGGCATTAGGGGATTTCGGCACTAGAGTTAAAATGGTATTGTTTAACTCTTTAAGCATACAACCAGACTCAAAAAAATCTCTTACCGCCATGAGAATGGAGGGTCCAATGATCTCCCAAGAGGTTTTGAAGAAATCAACGTTATACCCATCCGGCCCTAGGGCTTTGCCTCTAGCAAGTGAAAACAGGGTAGACTGAATTTCCTCATCCGAAACCGATTGTGCTAGGCGGTTCCTCTGATTCTCATCTAAAACCCGGCCAATGAAATCCCTTATCTCACAGACAGATGGCTGGATAGACGTAGGATTACCATTGAGTAGCTCCTGAAAGTGACCAACAATGTGGTTCCTGACCACTTGTGGGTCAGTTAGTAGAACACCGTCATCAGCAGACACCGAAAGGATTCGATTTTGTAACCGCCTTTTGTTAACAAAATGATGAAAGAATTTAGTATTCATGTCCCCCTCTTTGAGCCATCGAATCCTGGATTTCTGACTGAAGAAGGATTCCTCTTGTAATCTCAGTGCAGAGAAGGATCGTATGTACTCCACTTCTCTATCAAGCAGGCTCTGATCAAAGGGATGACGCTCCAAGGCTACCTGAATAGCATATAGGTCTGATCTGGCCTGTTCAGTCCTTGTGGAAATAGCAAAGAATGAACTTCTATTCAAGTGTTTCAGCTTTGCTTTAAGCACCCGAAGTTTGCAGCAAATCATATACATAGGAGTGCCTACTATATGAGTATCCCAGACTTGAGTTACTAAGTCCAAGAATTTTGGATGTGTAGCCCAGAAGTTGAAAAACTTGAAAGGTTTATTGGAGCTAAGTGGCGGGAAAATTTTTATCACCATGGGGGAGTGATCAGAGATACCTGGCGCAAGGAAGGTGGCTTCCGAGAAGGAGAAAAGTTGGTTCCATAGGTCATTAATGAGCACTCGATCAATCTTGCGAAGTTTCCGATTATCACCTGAAGAATAAGTCCATGTGTATCTACAGCCCACATAACGAAGATCCTCTAGTCCCGCCTGGTTAAGGCAGTCCCCAAATTCATCAAAGGCCAGAATCCAGGGAGTTGTGCTACCCACTCTATCATCCGGGTCTCTAATGGCATTAAAATCTCCAGCAACAATCCAAGGCAGCTCACACGAAGAGAGCCGAATAAGGTCAGCCCAAAGCGACCGCCGATTCACAAATGTATGTTCTCTATATACTATTGTGATAAGACAAGATGTTTGTATATTCAAAAGCTTAAGCTGAGCATGAATCATTTGGCCAGAAGAGGAAATAATACTCGTCTCCAGCTCATTCGGGTCCCAACCGAACCGTATTCTACCAAGGGGGGAAAAATCATAGTTGGACACCCACCGCCAATTAGCGCATAAGCCTCTAGAAATATTAGCAAAAAGAGAGGCTTTTGCTTTTGTTTCCACAATACCAATACAAGAAAGACGGTTTGTCCTAATGAGGGCCCGAATTTCAGCTTGTCTAAGGGGTGCTACTAGACCCCTGATATTCCATATTTCAAAAAACATATATATAGGCGAGGAAGGTTACCTCTGGGATCTCTTTGCCTTCCTCCTCTTAGATTTTTTTTTTGAGGAGGACGGGCTATGTGCCTTAACAGGACACATCGAGCTAGGAGTTAAACCAGGGGAGGCCTTAGAAATCTCATCCGTGGCACTGGACGCCAAAGTTCGTGAACGAGTGTTGGGGGGGGGGGATACAACAGCTGATTCCATCTCCGCCATAACTTCTGAATCACTGTTCTTCTCCATTACTGTCCGGGAGTCAAGAGAGTCTTCTGAGGATGACTAAGAGTTTTGAGAAGGATCCTCACTCTGCTGGTCAGTTAGTCCAGCAGGACATAAAGCTGTGGAATGGCTCGGCTCTGCCTCAAAGACCTTGGAATAATTCAGATCAGTACCCATCAGGCCGGGTTCCACACCGGTATTCAAAACAGGAGGAAGGGGTTCCTCCTCCCCCAGATTCGGTGCCAATTGAGGATGAGACGCAGATTGAGGCTGGTTGATCGGCTTGCCATAAGGTTCTTTGCCTTTTTTCCTAGTGACGTGAGTCCAGCCATCTGCTCCTTGAGGTCGAACAATAGGCTGACCTCTATGTTCAGTATGTGCAGAGGCACATTCAAATCCACTGGAACCCAATTTATGGCCAAAAATGCCACAAGAAGAGTAAGCCAGAGGTTTCCATTCATATTCAATACTGATCAAATTCACCTCACCATCCCAACGAAACTTCACTGCTTCCACTCGGGATTTTGTGGCCTTAATTTCCACATAAACACGTGCATAAGAAATCCTGGTCATCTGTTCTGTTTGCACATCCACATATAGTGGTTTCCCAATGGCGCTGGCTATTCTTCCAATACCAGCCGGGGACCATAGAGAGAATGGGATATCTCTTAGTCTGACCCAAACCGGGAGAGTATCTAGAGAACCTTTCTTAAGCTTCAATTTCGAGTGCCATTGTTGGAGCATCAAAGTGCTACTAAAGATGGAAACCGGTCCCATATCAGTAATCTTCCTGCGGAAGTCAGCATTCGAAACTCAGAAGAAGTAGAACCCATTTTCATGTAGTTTTACATCAACTACTTGATCACCCCATGATTTCTTAATGGCTTCTTCAGTTAACTTGACGGAAATTTTCTTCCCTATATAGTGGCCAACAATACATTCCAGCCAAAGTGGATTCTCATCAGCAATTACCTCTGGTGTAATGTCCATAATCACTTCACCATCCTCCACCAGCGGTGGAACATATGCTAGGTTGTATCCTTTGGTCAATACCTTCGCCACATTTGCCCACGTTCTAGTTACGGGTGCAGGGGTGGGTTGGCCTTGAGGACGACTAAGGTTTTGTCCCACCACATTTCTTTTCCTATCTGTGTTGGGCCTGGGAGCAGAACGAATTGAAGGACCTGCATTATGAGCACGCCTAAGAGAACGGCTCCTATTCTTCGGGCGGCCCCTACTTCGGCTACGACTAGAATTGCCTTTCAAGAAAAGCCTAGGGCCAGAAGGAAGTTCAACCTCATGGGAAAAGGAGGTAGATTTTCTTTTGAGCTCTGCTGCCTTAGAGGTATCAGCAGGACCATCTACCGCCAGTTGAGTATCAGCAGGACCAACTACCACCGGTTGAGACTCAGCAACAAGGGAGAGGCCAGGAGAGGGGTTCCTTATAACCTCCTCCATAGGTTCGAAAATTAGCAAGCTACCACACCAATTTCACCAACCAGTCAACCCAATACAGCAACATATAAACCAGAACAGGGAATAGCAACAGCAGGTCTCCCACTACCCAGCATAAATGCGTCCACCAGACTCACAAAATCCAGCCCAACCACAGAAGAAGGGACACCGAAGAGAGAGTACCTACAGGAGGGGATGACGACCTCCACGAGGACAAACTAGCAGAAGGAGCACTCAGCGTGGCCGGATTTCTCAGAAAGAACGCACCAAGAGAACGATTCAGATCTGATGGCTCGGCCTCTACACTGAGAGAGAAGAGGAGCCCTTTGGAGGGGAAAGAGAAGGGAGTCCAGAGGACCTTACCTCCAAAAATCAGCTCCAACCACCACCGGAATCCGCCGGAATCAGCAAAACACCATCGGGTGAACAATACCCGCGAGATATCCGGGAGAGAGCATTTTCTGCTCGCATGAACAGTACCGCGAGATGGTGGAAATGAAAATTTTTTCAAGTAACATTTAATGGCCATGCAGACTAAAAAACTACAAACAACAACAAAAATCAAAGTTCAAGGGAGTATCACTTCTCAAAGTTGGGGACTATGGGGCAATGGTGCCAAAGATCAGGGGACCTTCAAGAAATTATCTTGGAAACTAAACGGTGATGCTTGGCCATCTCTTCTTAATTTCACATCTCCAATTCCCACATCATCTTCGGTGTGATATTTCTTGTTGAATGTGTCTAGAGTTTTGGGCAACTTCTTGAGCAAAAAGAGAAGCTCAGAGACGGAGACGAAGACGGATGATTGAAAGATGCGAGAAGACGGCCTGCCTAGCGCCCGGACAAGCTAGTTAGGTGGGAACCCGGCCAAGGGGTGGCTAGGCGTAAAGGCAAGACTAGCAGGACACCCAATAATTCTTTAGAATTAAAAGTTGTGGCCGGCTATTCGAACACCCGCAACCCCTCCCCCGGGCACCCAAACGTGTTTTAAACCCTATTTCGGTGAGCATCTTATGAAAAATGAGATTGCACGATTAAAAACCTCTTCGAGGTATTTCTAAGGTCTCTCTTAAGAGCTTTCTAAGGAAAGCACTTGAGATATCGAGTGAAACATCAGATTAGGATCGATTGGATGTAATTTGGGGCTTAGGTGTGACAAACCTTTTGATCTAATTTTGTTATTTGTAGCTCATAGTGGATTCTTCATCGCCGCTCTCCTCTTGGAAATGTTCCAGCATCCAAACCAAACTACGTAAATCTTACCATATTATTTTCTCTATTTATCACTTATTTTTCCATTCATCTCGCCAATGTGATCGATTGCACAATCCTCTTTCCAGCTTCAACAAGCTGGTATTGGAAATAGGTTAGGGTTTCTCATCGATTTAGGGTTTTTATGCTCAAGTGATTGAATGGATAATCGAAGTGCAATTGATCGTGGTTTTGATTTAGGATTTGATTCTAGAGCAAATTTGGGGGTTTTGTTGTAGCTTTCTTAATTGTTTTCGGGAACTCAAAAGCTGAGAAAGAGAGACTAGGTGTCATACTTTCTACAAGAACGACGGTGAAAGGCTCGGTGATATCTCTAGGTTCTACAGATAGAGACATCAGACAATCATGGCACATGCGAATACATGTCTTGCAACCGATTTTCCATGTCATGTCGCCTGTAATTATTGCCATTTCATGTCAACTCGTCGTCAATTCTTTGATTTGCCGACAAAGTACTACTTCAATCTAGGAAATACTGAGTAGAAACTACGGCATAGGTGACTTTCTACAGTGGCCTTCCACCTCGTTGGGATCAAATTTGTCATGTCATATTGCATTTAATTATTGTCATATCATGTCATTTTGTGCCCCCGAATCACCCGGATCCCACGAGTGAATAAAAAGTTTGATTTACATTGAATCTCACCTGAATCGCCATATCTATCCTCCTAAGGAGAGGTTTGGTTTCAACCCCGATTCAAACAGGAGAAGTACGCCATGCTATTGTGCCTTGGATGATCCACATCTCAGGGTTAGGCACTGATGAGTACAACATCTTATTTGCATTCAATTATCATGTCTTGTTGTATGTGATTATTGTCATGTTATGTCACTCTTGTGCTTTATAATAGAATTTTGTGTTCAATTGACATTTCCATTCGCATTTTTACACACATGGATTCATACCACTATGCACAAGAAAGCGTCCTCGTTAATCATTAGCGAAGTCAGATAGGTGCTTTGGCAACATTCAAGTTGTTAAAAACAAAAACGCATACTTAGGAACCGATTGATCAATGTTTTAGAACTCAATCAAAAAAATAAAACCATAATATCAAAAGGTTATCATGAGATGCTAATTTCTCCCTTGCGTAACTGAACCCTTGAACCTAAAACCTCATGTTGTCATTGGACCAGCTCTTTACAAGTGCACCTTGTTAGTTCACTTTCCCATCACTATTTGGACAATCTAGGTATTCTTTTTTTTTTTAATCCTAGGCTCGGACACTATGGTATTAGAATATACGATGAAAAGCTTAGTAGATTGTCCAAATAGTGATGGGGACAATCTAGGTATTCAATCGACCTACATTTACCTAAATTGATTGGTGGCAACTCCCATATCGTATTTAAGCTTTTCATTGTATACTTAGGATCTGAGAGATCCTTTGGGTCGAAGGCACCACCAGCGAACGGCCCCCCTTCCCCCCGACTTGCAAGATATGAGGCACTACACTAGTGATGAGATCAGAGTGTTAAAGTCATTTTCCTGATTAGATTCATGGGAGAGAGAGAGGTACTAAAAGAAAAAACACAGTGGCAAATTAGCTGCAAGAACTTTTATAATTCGACTTGTGATGATACCACAAACGATCCTTGAACTTTTGATATTGTGGGCAATGTCATCCCTGAACTTTTAATTTGTTCAATATGGTCCATAAATTTTAATCCAATATGCAATATAATCCTTAGATTATACAAAAATATCTAAAAGTTCATGGACCAGGACCACATTGAATATTGGACGAAAGTTCATAAATCACATTAAACAAATTAGAATTTTAGAGATGACATTGCACATTGAACCAAAGTTCATTAACTATATTGACCAAATTAAAAGTTTAGGTGATATTACACATTAGACTAAAATTCATAAATTATTTGTGTCATTTTTCCTTTCAACTTTCGTGTGAGGCTATATTATGTTTTTACAATACAAAAGGATTGGGAAAGGGCTGGCCAGGCCCATACCGGTTCCTTTCTATTTGACATCTATTTGGTTTATTCACAAGAATAAGGTCGGAATGATGCTTTCTACATCATCAAAATTACCTTATAATGTACGAATTACAACATGGTCTATCCAATGATTGATAATTCTCCTTTTACTAACTAGCTTCAACGCACGCGCTACACGTGCGGAATTGGTTTTTTTTAATAATTTTGTTTAAATAGCTATTTTAAATTAAATGTTAGCCTAAAATTATCGTAGGTTTACGTATCTTTTGTGTTCTTTGGAACGTGAAAGTAGTGGAGGAGAGCGCGTTTTATCTATATATATATATATTTTTTTTTTT